AAAATTGGATTAACATTCACAAATGGAAGATTCTCTTTAAAAGTTGTACTAGACAGGACAAAAGGCCAATTTTTCCTGGCCAGCCACATGCCTAGGAAAAAGAACATAAGCAGGGCATCATTCTAATATTGTCTTCCCACTTGTGAATTCCCAACTGGAATTCAGACACATGCTGTCTCTATGGAGGTTCCATAAAAATTAAAATCAATATCCTTAAAATAAATTCAATTAAAATTAAAAGCTTGCTGAAATGTTTCTTTTGGCCATTTTCCTAAATACTGGGAAAGTGAGGGTGAACTCAACATAGTTGGGGAGTACATTCCCTAGCTTTTGGGAGCCATATGAGAAAATTTTTTTCTCATATGCCAGATAGCTAGCTAGCTTCTGGCAGTGGGGAATCTTCAAAGGGGCCTCTCCTGCTGATGTAAGTAACTAGACAGGTTTATACTGGGCGACACAGGCCCTAAGTAGTTTGGGGTTTTACAGGTCAACAGAAGCACCTTCAATTGTGCCAAGTAAACAATTGGCAACCAGCACAGCTCTTTTAGTGTAGGCATTGTATGATTTTATGAATTTCCCATAATGTTCTGACTGGCTATTATGAAAAACATGCTGGATTAATAGTCTTTTGCGGCAGAGTTCTTTCGTTTTATGACAAGATCTTCATCTTTTACTTCTTAACATTTATTAATGTAAAGAGATACTAATTCAAAGGATCCACACCAGACCCCCTTTCATATGTGAGGCATCCTGTAGCAGTAGTTTTAAAAAATGCAATTGCTGCTGACTAATCACAATTTCCAGGTGTTTTTCAAGGGGAGCCCCATGTAAAATATATTACAGAAGTGGAATGGTGAAATGCCATTTAAAGACAAAGTTTTATTCAGCCAATGTGGTTTAATATGATTTTTATTTTAAAATGTACAGTATTGAAAAATAATGAATTATTATAAATCTAATTGTTAAAAAAAATGCTACTGATCCTGATGCTGAATTATATGGGTTTACCTAATCCCCCCCCCCATTTATCATAATACTTGTTTTCTATTTTGATATTTTATATTTTTTCCTTATTTCTTGGATAGCAAGAGCCAAAATACTTTTTTTTAGATCCCACAGAATATTGCAGTGTTCTCTGTTGGACATTAACTATTTTGGTTCCACAAAACAAAGATTTTTTTAAATTCAAAACATGCTTATCTGGGAGAAGACATTACTTCATGGAATTGGTCTATCTTTTGTGTAAGCATAACATAGAATGATTTTATGTAAGCTGCCTTAAGTTTTTACTGTAAAAGCTTATCTAAGTTTAAGTATAATTACTCCGAATGATGTAAATATGCGGATAAAATCATTTTGTATGCTGTGTTATAAATGATGCATGCTTTGTTCAAGTAATACTAAATTTGCTAAGAGTGAGTGAGAAGTTTCAGTGGCAAAAAATAGAAGTGATCAAGCACAGGTATATGGCAAAGTTTGGACTTAAAACAGTAATGATAAGAGTAGCAAAGTGTGTATGCTCCTATTGTGTCTGCAGATTTCTTTCCCATAGCCCTTTACAGATGACCCAGACTCTTTGGGAGAAAGAGGGTAAGGACAATATGCTTACAAGTTGCTGTGAAGCTTTTTGTGGATATACTCACTGATAACCACTTTGCAGATATGGTCACTTACATCTGTTCAGGATTAGGTGTCAGTTGGGCAGAGCTAGGAGAACTTTATAGAGTGATACCTTGAAATCTCACTTGGGATTCTTTTGAGCTTATAGAACCTGCAGAAATAGGTGGGCTGGACCCATGCCTAGCTTGGCTCCTTCAGATGGCCAGGGGTGGGGTGGTTGGCTGGATTTGAGAAGTGTTTAATGCCTCCCTGAGGTATGGTGATTTGCCATTAGTGTTAAAAGACTGACAGCGTACCCTCTTTTGATGAGGCCATCTCTTGAGCTACCCAGACTGGACAATTTCTGCCTAGTCTTGAACTCCTTTTTTTGAGATAAGGTGATGGGGAATCAGCTGTCAGGCTTTTTTGCAACTGCTCCAAACTGAAAGTGATTCCTTCCAAATATGATTATCACAGAATTCTCTTTAGTAAGATTTACTGAGAAGAAAGATAGGGGGTTCCAGGGATTCCAGGAACTAACTGAACTATTTCTCATTTAGGACCAGTATATCCCCATTTACATTCAGTCAGAGACTTTGTTTTCTAGCAGCCTTCCTTTGATCCAGCAAGGAGCAGGTCTTTTGAAGTTTGCACCTGGCTTTTTTTTCATGTTTTTTTATAACAGTCTCATGACTGGTTTAATTCTTATAGTATCTCAACCCTTAAGCCCTCTTCTTCCCCCTTCTCAGGGTCTGGAAAGTCTGTATTTCCCTACTCCAGGAAGAATCTGCAATTGAACCATAACATTAGCTACAAAGAATCCTAGAGGAAATTGATAATCTAAATCCCTCTCAATTTAGGATTGAGGCCCAAACATGGGATGGAACTACATTGTTTGCTTTGATGGATGGACTTGGATGGAGGGAGTATGGTCCTTCTGGTCCTACTAGATTACAGTATTCAGTTCTATTTTACACCATCAGCCATTATGTCCTTCTGTATTACCTGTCAAAGTTGGAAGCGCTGTTTTGTGGTGGTTTCACTTTTATTTTAGTGGCTGACTATCAGATGATAGTAATAGAGGAAAAGCAATGGAGCCTGTGTTTCCCTCATAGCCCAGTCTCCCATCTATTTAATATCTGCATTAAATCACTGGGACAGGTAATCTGTTGGTTAGGCATCCTTAGTATGCTGATGTAGAAAATAAAGAAGATGACCTTGACAGAAATATGCAGGAGCTGTTGCCTTGGCATAAAGGGCTGAAGCATTTTCTATGCCCAGAATAGTTAGATAATATTTGGAAGAGGCTCAGACAGATGCTGCCCTAATTTACAGAACTATATTGATGTCAGCCCCACTAGATGGAACAGACTGCAAAATCAACTCCACCATTGAAACTATTATTGAAATTGGCTATTATAACAGAATCTTGCAAGTCTGAGTATCTGGTACAACCTCCTCCTTTTATGGGGGGCCTTAGCTTAGCTTCAGCTAGTGTGGGAGTTATAGCCCTTCCAAGACCGGGAGGCTCTGGAGATCTCTATGTGGCTGGATTATTGCAGCGTGCTCTGCATGAGGCTTTCTTTGATGACACTAAAATGTTACAGTTGGTATAGAATGGAAAAAGCAGACTGCTGGTGGATAAACCCCTCTGTTGCAGAATAATGACTATTTTGTGGTTGTTGGAGTCATTGATTCCAATTCAAAGTACTGGTCATTACCTGTACAGTCTTACAAGGTAGAGCAGCAGGTTATCTTAGGGACCAGCTTGTTGAAAATGTTTCTTCCCTTCTATCAGATGGCTGAGAGAGGGCCTACTTAGGGTCTTACCCTCAGTTTAGGTGAGGGGGACAGGAGCTTGAAGACAGGCTTCTCAGTACAGGTAGTCTTCATTTTGCAACTGCCTCAGACAGCAACCATTCGCAGTTAGATGGTGATGAATAAGTTATTTTGCAACCAATGCCTGCATTTACGACCTTTGCAAATCCCCCATCAAAATGGCATATGCTACCAATGAAGATATAGTTGGCTCCCCAACTCTTGGTCTTTCTTTGATGATCTAAATGCCTAGTGAGAAAGGAGGAATTTAAAAACTTAGCTACTTTTTAGTATTTTATTGTATTTGGTTCATTGTGTTTTGAGATTGCTCATTTGAGTTGTTAGATTAGGGTGGTATACAAATTTTATAAATGAATTGATTTTTTTCTTGGCAGAGAAAAATGTGTCATAAAGTTTTAACATTTCAAGAAACCTTTATTTCTCTACTTGCAAGCACTATTTCCAAGTAGCTGAAATTGTAGCATTATTGGTTCTTGGAAATAGATATGTTTAAAGTATATAATGCAGTAGCACTGCAGGGAACTTGAGTATTATTTATGCATTTATTCTTATATTGCCATTTTTAGTGGCAATATAATTTTTTATTTTTTTATTTTTAGTGGTAAAGAGTTGGTATGTTGGTATACAACATGGAAATTCACTGGGATGAAGGACTTATAGGTAAAGAAAATATTTGCGAGTACAAATATTCCCAGATGGCTTAAACACATCATGCTCCATAACACCTGGAAAATAGAAAAATTTTAGACTTGCTAACCAATTTAAGAATTGTTTTCAAGTCTAAAAATGGCAGTAGAGTTGCATATTTTATCTGAAATTTTCCATTGTTTCTAATGAAATACCAGTTCTACATGTACTTTAAGCATGAGTGTGTATAGAAAGAATGGAAGCTAATTTTTCACTTTAGAAGACCAAACACAGCTTAAATACACTTTTTTCCTCCTAGCAGGTCAAAGAATAATACCACTGATCATCTAAATCATAACTTGGAGGATCAGGAGCAAATACTGTTTCCTTGAGCTCTCCTGTGTGATCAAATAAATCTGTAGCCTAGTGAGCAAACATTATTTGTAGTACATCAGACCCACCAAAATGTGTTTTGGACAAACCATTCAAACATGATTTTATATTGCATTAGATGAACAGTATCTGCAACATTCATAAAAATGTGGGTCTTGCCTTACAAAAAGCAGTGCTATTGAATTTTCTGTGCTGGTTGGCCCTCAGCAGCAACAGTACACTGACCATTGTTAAAATTTTAACGTTTTTAATATTTTAGGCACACTTGGTCTTAAAAAGTTGCCACTGTTTTATAGTGAATCAGAGTTGGCTAATTCAGGAATTACGGAAACCCTACATTTTATCTGCATTGTTTTAAAAATTGTGGTGTGCCATGAGTACTTGTTAAGGCGGTACTGTTCTATCTGAAATTTCATGATTCAGTAACATTTGGTCTGGAAAAAATAAATCCTTATAAGAGGTCAGATAGTATATCTTAATACCGTATCCCCCAACTTCATTATGTGTTGGAATCAACTGTTACGTTCTTTTTCTTCAAACAGGTTGAATCATTTATTTTGGACCAAGAAGATCTGGATAACCCAGTGCTTAAAACAACATCTGAGATATTTTTATCAAGTGCTGCTGAAGGAGCAGACCTACGGACAGTGGATCCAGAAACACAAGCAAGATTAGAAGCTTTATTGGAAGCAGCAGGTAGGTTTTTTAAATTGGCAGTAGTTTTCTTTTAGGATGAACTAATTGTTTTAACCTGAGAGAATAACTATCATAATATTTGGCACTTTTAACAACTTGAAATTAAAGCAAGGAACAGAAATTGAATTTCTAGAATTAAGCTGTTGTTTTAGAAGTGTTTTTAAGGAATGTAAGAAATATGAGCAAAATATTGTAATAAGCAGATTTTCTTAAAAAGTAGACATGGTTATCTGAATTAAGATGCAGATAGAATACTTCAAATTGTATTTGTGGGAAATTCTAGGACCATAAAGTTTGAAGAGGCCATTTAGGCAATTCAGTACAATTCTTTTCTCAGTGCAAGAAAGCATTATTGACAGGTAGCTGTCCTGCCTCTGGTTGAAAATATCTAATGGAGCTCACCACTTCTCATAACTGGTTCTAGGGTTGAACTCTTAAGAAAACTGCTAGGAATTTTTCTCGATCAGAAGATACCTTCTATAACTTAAATCCATAATTCCAAATCCTGCACTCTGGAACAGTAGAGTCCACAACGACAAAAAATTTCCTGCAAGTCCCTGTTCCCCTAACTTCTCAGCAATAGGGATTTTGTTAACAGATTTTGTCAAGAAGCATTCACTAGATAAGTCAATTCCATTTAGAGAAGGTGGGCCTGAAGGTAACTGGCACCCAAGCCATATATGTGGGTCTGGATTCTCAAACTGATAATGAGGCTAGTATCTTGTGTGTAGACAATATACAGGTGCAGGTTGGTCCACCTTCTCAGGAGAAAAAAGCTTCTTCCCTGTCACTGAAACAAATAAGAAGGTAACTAGTTTTGAAGTGTTATATCTGAAAGCAGACATACTGGTTGAAATGACTGTGCTATCACCTTAACCTTTTTATTAATAAATTTGTTAATTAGAACTTGGAAAACATTGTTCCTTGAATGTTTGTTTCCAGTTATATTAATGCCACCATAGGGCATTATAAATCAAAACTATCACTTTGAATTGAACTGAGAAATCTGTGGGCAGCCAGTGCAAGGCCTGCAGCACAGTTGTTACATGGTTATGGCAACTCTTGTTTATCTGCTGCCCTTTAACCAATTACAGCTTCAGTGTGGTCTTCAGAGATAGCCCCATGTAGAGGTCATTGCATAGTCCAGTTATGTGGTGGTAAGTGGTTGCGTCCTCTGTTGATGCACCCTAAAATATCCTTTTCGGCTGTGAGACACTGTTGTGTCACATTAGCTTGTGATCAGTTACTTTTCACTCATACCATTACCATGTCTCCTGAATGTACCTCTGCATTTTAAGATCCTTTTCCTGTTAGCTTCTCCTGCCATTCATCGGTATTTAATATTGTTCTAAGTTTATAATAATCTGGATTTTTGAACTGCAATTTATATGTTTGACTACATTTACCATTAGTTTTCCAAATCATGGCATTATGAAACCACTATCTTCCAAATTTTTATTATCAGATGAAGGATAGCTGATCATCTTGTGCTTTTTTGTACCCTCTGAAAGAAAAGGACAACAACAAAAGTCAGGAATGTTCTCGAGACCATGTTGTTGTAAAGTTTTCTTAATGTTTCTCAAAATCATCTTTAAAAATGTAGGCTTTGTCACCTTGTCTACTTAGCAGAATTAAGAGACAGATGATCATGATATTTTGTTAGGTTTTAGCAGCCTGTCTGCCAGATGCAACACCAGCAAACACTACTGTGCTACTCTTTGCTGAGGTTTTTGTTGTGCTTTGGATAACTGCTGGCTGCAAAAATTGTCACTCAGATTTATAGCTGGAAAAAAGTGATACATTTTTGATACTAGTAACGGTTGACAAACTGGACATTGATAATTGGTAAAATTTGCAATATGGAAACACCAAGTGGGAACAAAAGGGAAGGATTAAAAGACAGAAATGAACTTAATGTAAGGAAACAGTTGTTTAACTTCATCTATAGAATATATAATGAAAAATTGGAGATATTGGATTTGTTCATATTGTAAAGGAAGAAGGAGAAAGTTCCTAGTTTACCTCCTCCTGATTCATCAAACTGTAAACATACTTCAGATGTCATACTAAGCCATATTTTAGCATTATGGGAATGCATTAGCTTAACCCTGTAACCTTAGGCAAGGAAGATATTGAAAGAAACCACATTTGCTTTAGACCAGGAATGGGAAAATGGTGGTCCCTGGACTGATTCGTCCCCCTTTCCCCCTTTAGCCTCTGAAAATGTTTCATTAGGAATCAATAGAAGACTTTTTTCAAGCCTAATTTTGGAATGGGGAGTTGTTTTTGAGTAGTTAAAATGGGGTGAGAAGAACTTGTTCAACAGATGATAGAAAAAAAGAACCCATTGCTTGAAATCAGACACCATAGGGACTATATTTTAAATGAACTTTTTAAACAGAATTGAAGTTTATGGACTCTTGCTCCCATCATAGTAAACTGTAGCTTACAGTTAGCTTTGAACCAGATAAGGGGTTAATGTTATATTTGGAAATAATATTTAAGATGTTTTTATTTCCTATTTATACATTCAATAGTCTGTCTGGCTTGGATGAAATAGTGAAGTATGATTTGATCAGTCTAAGCAAAAAGTTAATTTGAGTGCTCAAATAAAACAAGTCTAGGAGAAGCTTGCAAGCCTCAGGCTGAAATACAAATTACCAAATTGTGACCTCCAATTCTGGCAGTAAGAAAAAGTTTATTTATAATCAAGGACCACATGGCATACATTATCCTAAAAAACTGTATCATGAAAGATAAATTTAAAATTCAGTTCAATACATCCTTCATAGATAGTAATGCACAATGCAATAACTAAATAATCTCATGCTGAATTGTGATTTTGGTTGCACAAAATGTTGAAACAATACCTGGACTTCATCTTTGAGTTATCAGCTAAAAGGAGGACCATAGAGCCTTGAAATTCAATAATAGTTAGGCAAAAAAGGGAAGTTTAGATTGTTATGCCAGAATGAATAGAAAGGATAGATAAGAATATGACCGATTGATTTTAACTTTCCTCAGTGAACAGGGACAGAGAGGAACTGTTGTATCCAGTCCTGGTAACAGTAAGGCATAGCTGTTTATTATTTTGTAGTCTTAACCTTTTTTATTGGTCAGTTTGATTAGTTTTGACTGCAGAGTACATATAACATTCTCTTTTTGTACACATAAAATGAAAACCAATAAGCAAAAATGACATTCTTTTATTAAAATACATTTCATTCATTGAATACATTTGGATTGGAAGTATTGTAATGAGCAACCCCCAGTGTAGCATGTGATGAGCATATTTATAATACACAATTCTAAAGCTACAGTTTCTCAACAACTCTGGGAAGTGGAAAAACTGTACACCAAAGAAGTTGTACAATATCAGATAACAAAAAATGAAGATAGTCATCCAGTGGAACAGACGTAAGAACCCTCACAAAGAGAGCCTATAACCTGTCCTAGTCCAAAGCCTGGGGAAAAAACCAGGCCGTCAAGGCTAATTCAAAGGAAGGCAGGGTGGGGCTATTCAAATTTGTGAGGGAATGCTAATCCAAAAGGCAGGCACCATGGCAGGGAAGGCATACTTCTTGAATCCTATCAGATGATGCTTAATAGGTGGGACCCAGAGCATGCTGATTCTCATCTTACAGAAGAGGCAGAGACAATAAGTGAGGAGGTCCCTCAAATACATAGGCCCTATGCCATGTGGGGCTTTACAGATGATAATCAGCACCTTGAATTGCATCCAGAAGCCTACAGGTAACCAGTGAAGTGCATGAAGCAGAGGTGTTACCATGGCATACCCATATTGCTCATGCCTCTACATTCTGGACCAGGTGCAACTTCCAAGTGGTTTCAAGGACAGACCCACATACAGCACATTGCAATAGTCCATGCATGAAATAACCAAGGCATGACTAACCATGAGAAGGGCCTTCTGGTTTAGGAATGGGTGCAGTTGGTGCACAAGATGAATCTGTGTAATGGCCTTTGAGCAGGAGCTGAGAGTCACAGAAAACCCCCAAATTGTACACCAAATACATTTGGGAGGAATGTAGAGGTGGAAAGTTCCCAGTCACTCTGTCCTGCTAGGATTGAGCTTAAGTTTGTTCATCCCCATCCAGACCTTAAGGTTTCCAGTCGCTGGGACAAGACCATGACAGCATCACTCGTGGCTTATACAGCAAAGTATACAGCAATACTGATGATAATAGACCCTGTGCCAATGGATATACAGCCAATAGATATAAAGATATACAGCAAAGTATCAACAGCATACTAATGATAACAGACCCTGTGCCATTGGATGATTTCAACCAGTGGCTTCATGTGAATGTTAAGCGGGAGGGACAAGAGTGTCAAGCCCTGAGGCTTTGAACTCAATGTCTCCCTCCACCATCCATTAAAACTGACTGGAACAGCCATGGATAAAGGAAAAGAATCACTGCAACACCATACTCCTCCCCAATCTCTGTAGCCTGTCCAGAAGGACACCATGATCAATGGTATCGAAGGCCACTGAGAGGCCACATTTTGTTGCTCTTATTGTCATTGTATATAATTCCTAACATAAATTCTCACACATGCTTGATTGGATTCACTCCTTGTCTTTCTCCATGGTGCTCTAGGCTGCTCTCCTGTTGTTTCATCTAGAGCTCCTCAGAGAACTAGAGAGCCATCAGGATTGGCTCCCTGGATTGACAAACAGGGAAAGACCACATGGAACAAACCGATCCGAGGCCTTATCATTCTCCCATTCCAGGTAGAAACTCAGTTGAAGTGCCTATTAGTTCCTTAAGAAAAAACCCCAAGCTCCCTCTAAAACCTGTGAGGATTCGTCTTGCAACATTGCTGAAAAAGTGGTAGTTATGACTGGTTCTCGAAGTTCCAGCCATTGCAGTGCCCCCATAGTCATGTGATTGCGATCTGGGAGTCCAACAACCAGCCCAGATTTTCGACCTTTGCAGTGTCCTGCGGTCACATGACTGCGATTTGTGACATTCCCT